CGAGCTCGAGAGGAAGCTGTACTCACCCATCTCTGTGAGATTGAGCGCCACCTATATTTTCATCCGGTCATTCAACGCATTTTAGTCAATGGGGGTCAACTCACCACCGTCGCGGTGACTGTGACGTTCCGCTGGCTGACTAGAACACATTGAGAGAATATCGCAAAAGAAAAGGCGAAAACCGACATCGCCAAACTCGCATCGCGAAACATCTACAAGGCATTGTCAGGCTCACGGCCGTGAGTGTATCATGAGCAAGTCCACATACAATCTCACAATAGTGCCGATTAAGGCCTAATATAACAGCCGTCGCAATTAGAAAGGAAAAGGGGGAAAGGTGAAACGTAGCCCAACTCACTCCGACAGTTAATTGCACCTGAGGCTTTATCAGGAACTATTCTTTCGGACCCATAACTGCAAGGAAAGACTCACGATAAGGGTCCACGCGACAGGCTGAAGGAGCATTACCAACGGCTGGCTGTAATTTCTGTAGGCAAAATCTCATCGTTAGTACGAAAACGAAAGTGGGATTTGGATAGTAAGACGCACGTTATGGTGTAGAAATAGACCGCATGGCCAATGAAGGCTTGGTCTACGAGTTCTAGGACCCTGAATATCCCCGACACGATTAGCACCCCGTGTGGGCGCCAACGAAGCCAATCGACACGAACCAAATCAACACTACCTGGAGATGGACAATGAGAAACAGCGAAAACCAAGCATATGAACAACTCACAATGATCTTGTACGCCAATCTATCCCCCGGATAACGCTGGAAGTACGTGAAGCATTGGTTGGTGTTCACACCAAACACGACACAGCTGAACGCGAAACCAATGAGAGCAGCGCCGAGCGTGTCGTCGACGGGGCCGATGAGCGCCGCCAATGGCGAGGACTCGGGGGGCGACGAAGCCATCGAAGGGAACGTCGACGTGTATGTAGACGGCAGAAAGAGGAAAAACGGAAAATGGAAGCAACCGGGCGCATTTTGAATGCCATATCGTGGGACGTGAGACCAATTGCCCTTTCCACAGGAAAGTGAGTGCTCCAATTTTGGTTTGCCGTGGCCCGTGATCTGTGCATTAACCATTTCGAGGCAGCTATTCCAAATTTTCTGCTGTCAGGTCCACGATCGGGAGGGTGACATCACGGAGGCAGGTACAAACCGTTTATTATTTTTGAATTTGTTTGGGACTTGGCTCGGATGCAAGAACGTTTCCTGGTCTTCAAAGTTGTGGGTGTTTGTTTTGCCGGCGTTCGCTTGCGATTCGAATATTAGGTTTTACCCCGCGGGGGCCTTCCCTCGAAGACTCGTCTAGGCTGGGATGTGAACAAAAAGATGCGATCGAAGCCATGTGAGTAATTGCCGTTTTCTCTTAATTGGCGGCGCTTGTAGAAAGCGATTAGTGCAATTGACAGAAACATTCCGACGTTTTCGTAGATGTTCGGATGTTCATAAGACCCTCTCTCGCCAAGGTGTCATCGCTGCGTCGAGACAGGTGATAGACTCCTATAGCGCCTTGGTATTAAGGGTGATCAATTCTAACTTGCTGGCGACTTTCCACTGGCAAACAGTCAGTTGATGGTTAGCGAGCGTAAGCGAGAATAAGCGGCGCACGGACCAGGTTTAATGCACAGGCTCATACTACACTTGTCTTCGATGTTTTCCGAGAAAATTATCAAGGGACCCCAAGTTTGAGCACTCGTTGAGTTCCCCATGTCCTCAAAGCAGCGAATTGAGGCATATTTAAAGGAGGATATGTAAAGTCAGCCTCAAAAGCTCTCGTTCGCTTAATCGTCGCTTATTCTCGCTTACGCTCGCTAACCATCAACTGACTGTTTGCCAGCTGGAAAGTCGCCAGCAAGTTAGAATTGATCACCCTTATTAGTAAACAGTGAGCCACCATCAGAAATGTCTTGTCGACGTCGCAGCATTAATATTCTCCTAAGCGTCAGAATAAAACGGCTTGGAAGCTGGAAGTAAAGTTTTGCAGCAGGACGCCCTCCTTGGCGATCGAAGATGGTTGAGGAATGAAAATTGAAGAAAAAACGATTGGGGTCGGCAAGCGTGTGAGTCGTGACTCATGAGAGAGCGGCGGTTGCCAAAGCAACAGAGAGTCGAATTTTCTTTTCCGTGTTCTCTTTTGGAATGAAGCAAGCACGCGTGAGTGGAGGCAGATTTCCCAGTCGAATTGGCAGCGAGGGGCGTTTCGTTGGGTTCCGCATGCACGCTCCAGTTGTATACAATTACTTTCTATTTCTCGCTCTTTTGAATGTGGTAGCTCTTGTGAGTCACCCGAAAGATCCTGGGCTTCCGACGGTACTGTTGTATACTGTATGTCGCGAATGCGCTGTGCGAGCTCCTGGAATCGGAGAGGAAGACCGCATGAGATGGACACGAGAGATTTAAAGAGAGAAGTGCCAGGAGACAGCCAAATAAGTGCCCACGCATCATTGATGCGCCATCAAACTTGCCTGCCTTTGTCGTCACGCTCCCCCAACGCTCCCCGCTATGCATCGCGCTCTCGCGTTGGAGAATATCAGGCGTCTCCCCCCTTCACAAGCCGTATGTTGGATGCTTCCAGTGTCTCGCGTTCTTAGCTCTAAACGTCCTCAGCGAGTCGCCATGGCCGCCTGTAAAGAGGACCGTTCTGTCGACGATCTTTTACGCGCCGAAGCGCTGCTGAAAAGCGTGCCAAAATCTCACAAGATCTTTCTTCTTCCCGTGACATATGCATGCCTTGATTCAGCGGAAGTTCCGGTCACCTTGGATGTTGACTCTTTCGAAACGGAGGCCATCGCAGCTCGCATCCAGTGCGCTGTAACATCGTTGCGGATGATATTCGACATAATTGACACCGCGGACTCTGCTTTGGAACTAGGGCCAGTTTTGTGGCCGCGTGTATGGGCCTGGGTCCACTTTCTCCACGAAAACTACCAGAATATCCCTTTCACCTCAGCAGACTCGGAGACTGGCGTCGACCGGGTGAAATCGGTCGTCTACCTCGGATTCGTGGTCTTCGCCGGGATGGTTTATGAGCCGCCATCGAACTCTGCTCTCATTTCTTCGACCCCGGGATTCCGAGCCGTTCTATGTCGATCCTTGTACCATCTGCCGAATATGCTCTCGCGACTGAGATTCGAAGGCGCGCTATGGTATATCTCAATCCTGATGGGAGACCTGAAATTCGCTAGCCAAGCGCATTTCATTGAACTTGTTGACGGTGCAGGCGGCACGCTGAACGATGTCGCATTCCTTTTCACCAAATATCTGAAGAACTTCGCGCGACCAATTGACTGGCAAACTTCTCCGCCGGGGTTTTTCCTTCGGAGCCTCATTCGATGTCTGCGGACAATTTGTGGATCTGACCTTTCCAGGCGACACGACCTTTTGGAAGCGTTGTATCGTCAGGATTTTTTCCCGGGCTATATAGCCACTTTGCAGACCATTCACGATTCATACAAATCAAAACCTCCCAGTGTTGGCTCCCTTAGGCTTGAGGCCGCCAAAGATTCGGGGAAAGATGGATTTGAGTTCCTCGAACAATTGCTGAGCATGCCGCAGGGACACCGGTGGATGCCAAAGGTCATTCGAGCAGGTCTCCTTCGGACCATGGTCCGCTTCGCTATGAAATTCCCTTCTGAGCTCGACCAGACGTTTCAAAGCTTTTTAAAGCAGCTTTTTCCTCGCTGCTTCGTGTATTCCTACGTGGTCGATGCAATGCACGAGGTGCTCAACGACCTCATGAAGCTCCTGCACGGCGATGGGATCACGCTCGAGCTCAAAAAGCATTGGCTGGATTTTCTCGATCTGGCTGCGAAGCGAATCAAATTAAGGACGCATTTGGACGAGGTCTTATCAACTAAACTCAAGGCCTGCGACAATCTCGATGTCAGTCCAGTTTCTTCCCCGAATCGACGGAAATTTATTTAATCCCACTCGCAGTGCGGGAAAATTCAAGACCGATCCCTGTTCCAACGCTGCTCGGGGTGTCTCGCATTCTACTACTGCAATCGTGAATGTCAATCGGTGGATTGGACTCGGGGTGGACATCGGCAACGATGTGGGAACACAAAGTTGCTACTCGGTATGTTTCATGACTTTCATTCGCGGTACAACGATTATTAACATCTCGACACAGCCGACTCACCTTCATGCCCACTCGGACGTCGCGAGCGGGAGTTCCTCCGAGCGTCAATGAAGGAAGCATATGACGAATCTTTCAAATGGATCTGCGAAGAACAAGTCGTGCCTCTTTTCGTCCAGCAACAAGTGATCACCGTCATCGACTTCACATGCAGTCCGCCCGCCGTCAATGTCGAATCCATCGACGAATCCGCCCTCGCTGAATCGCTGGACGCCGTCGGTCCCGAATGGGCGGATATTTGCGCGCGCGCTCGGAGCAGTCACGGACGAATGCAGATCCACGTCGTGCACATTGCGGAGGGGAAGTCGACGCTGACGTGGGTGGTGCCGCTGCGATCGAGTACGGCGTACCTGCACAATGCTTTGAGCGACATTGCGGATATGATCGAAAAGCAGACTGAATTTCCGACGGACGAGGATATATCAGCTGCAGTCGAGTCCGTATTGCAGGCCATTCCCAGTGATTTTGTTGAAATCCATTGAACTTCGAACTTGGAATTTTTGACAATGTACCTGAGGATAAAGGTAGAAAAAATTTTCAACAAACTATTTGAGCCAGAGAGAATTTGAGTCGAATTTCGGAACAAGTCACACTCATCTCGTGTTTGCTTTCAGCTCGTTTTATGCAGCCTGCATTGACCTTGACCAACATCAACCGACTCCCCACGTCTCATGGTCGCCACTTGTGAATACCGATATACCGGATATACCGGAAGACCGCTGTGCTGCCTCGGCGAGTCATTTGTCTTTTTTATTTTGGAGATCGACGTAATTCAAGGGGATAACAGGAAGTCAACTTGGGTTTTTCGACCAAAAGAGAAGTTGGCTCGCCACCGAAAAAGACACCATGATATGAGCCCCGCCCGGATCGAACGGACGACCTTCTGGAGGCGAACAACGCACTGGAATCAGATGCTATACCACTTAGCTAGGGGCCCAACATCCACTGATTGACATCAGGAGCCTATCACTGACCAAGCAACTCAGGAATAAGGACTTCATTTTCGGCACTTGATCCAAAAGGTGGTTGAGAAGCTTACCGTAATTTCTGAGAAATTCTGAGGAAGTGTCCCATATATGAAATTCAGGGAAAACAACGTCTCATTTTGAAATAATTTGGAAACCCTGACGGCAAAACAATTGATAAACCATTGATAAACCATCACCGTGACACCGTGACAGACGCGTCTTTGCTTCCTGCCACCATGTTGGGCGGTTCTTGTCCTCGCCGCTTCACCTCGTCCCTATTACCAACCCCCGCCAGGCTCGCCGAGCTTGATTCTGCCCTACGCGCAAATACCTTTCCACCAGAACTCTCCAGCGTGCAAGCCACCATTGTCGCGACCCCAGCGGAATTGGACCGATATAATTCAGAGATGAAACGCGTCAAGAACGAACTTCAACGACTGAAATCGGAACGCCGTGCTCTGTTATCCCAGTTCGAAAAATGCCGCAGCGTGTTTGCCCCGATTCGCCGTCTACCTGGTGAACTGCTTACAGAAATCTTCGCGATGTGCCGACCCAAGGAGCTATACGATCTATCGAAAACTGTCACTCCAGAGGAGGAACTGGACAGGATCTCGCACCTTCATCTGCGTCAACTCGCCCAGGTGCGTTTATCTGCCTTTTGCTCGGTTTTGTGCCTCGTTAATATACGACCAAGGTATGCTCCCGTTGGAATGAAATCGTATCCGACTCCCCCAAACTCTGGTCTCATATCTCATTCAACACGTCGGTGTGGTCTGACTGCTGTGCTTCCGACGACACTCTCATTGACCTCCTCGAATACGCTTTGGAACGCGGCCGAAACACTCCCTTGATTATCGAAGCCTGCGTCGTATGGACTAACACCTCATCCAACTACGCCTTCGAACTCCTTGGTGAACACTCCCACCGCTGGTACACCGTTCGCTTCTACTCCGACCCTTGTTCCAGCGCACATCTCATCGACATCGAAGAAAAGCTTAACAACCTACAATCCCTCCACCTCGAGATCAATGGATCCTGGAACTCCGTCTCGACCTTCCGCATTGCCCCTCGTCTCACAGAATTTTCTTTCATCGGTGAATCCCCGCAAGATATCCCTCACCTTCCCTGGAGTCAGCTTCGCAAGTTAACATATGTCGGCAAAAATGCCGCCAATCCCAGCGAATGTCTCTCCCTTCTCGTCCGTGCCACCAACGTAGAATCAGCTTTTTTTAACCTCGACCTCCGCCAAACCTTCTCTTACGTTCCGTTATCATCCATCTCGTCCAATGTTAAAACCATCACCCTCGCGCTCGACGGGAGCGACAGCGTAATCGGCCGCGTATTCGACTTTTTTTCCCTACCTGCCCTCGAATCCTTCGCTCTCGTCCCACGCACAAAGTCGGATCACTCCCCACCTGCTTGGCCGATTGACCAATTCCTCGCCCTTGCTCGGCGCTCCTCGTTTGATGCCCACCTCACGCGCTTCCACCTTCAAGCCGATGTGAAGGACGTCGATCTCTTGACCTGTCTTACTCTCTTACCGCGTGTGGAGGAGCTCATAATAGCCGATTGCGACTCCTTCGGCACGAACGGCGCCGTCATTTCGGATGTGTTTCTTCGCGGATTATCGACCTCCTCGTACTCCTCCGCATCTGCTGGCGCGTTCGATATCCTCCCTGCCCTTCGTTTCCTCTCGCTCACCTCCAGCCTCGAGTTCACCGATGCGGTATATGTCGACCTCGTGTTATCTCGTGCGGCCGCTATAAGAGCCAACAGCTTGAAGATTTTGTCAAACAGTGGTCGGCTTCTTGCCCATCTATACTATCTTCCGGAGCGAGAGCGTGAATTGTCGACACAGATGATGAACGAAACATTCGCGAACGCGATTGTGGAGGGATGTGTCCTGTTTGCGGCCGGTCCTGTACCTGTATAAGGCGAGTGCATGACATTCTCTCCCTGAGGATATCGTGGCTGACCGAGCAATAGACGAATGTCTATGGAATTTCTGTTTGATTTCGCTCAATCAACGATCGCTCAATTCATCTAGATGGTTGGCTTATAATTACATTTCACTCCTCAGCTCCAAAATATCCGAATATACATGAATCCAAGGTTGGCCTTGACTGCTGTACCTTTCCTTATCTAGTTCGCGCCTACATACGACAGCAACGCATACTTCGCTATTTCATATACAGTAACTGGCCCTCGAGATGTCATATCTAGATGACGTTTCTATTAGACTCGGTGTTCAATCATGTAATACTCTAGTCATCGAACTCTGGTTTTACTGCATATTTGCCGCCACTGGCATGTTGTCTTCACCGGATGCAGGTCCAGTTATCCATCTCATGGTCAGCAACGCGGTCACGTGAGTTGATTGACCTCACCTTCTTCGCGCCCGTTTCAGGCGGTATTTCAGGAATTCATCATTTTCGCAGCTTATGCCTCACCCATTGATTTTCTTACTCCTTTTTACAGCTAGAAAGAAAGTGGTGAACCGTTGGCAAAGGTCGCACCGCTCATTCAAAAATCAAAGACAGACAGCAGGCATAAATACTGTTCAGTATTGTTCATGGTGTGTCTTCAACAGCCAATTCGAGCAACAACTCCGACTCTCTTCATTCAAACCGTCACATAGTAGCCTACGTCATAAATACCGCTAATATCTACAATGATTTTCTTTCAAATCCCAATCCCTCGTTGATAATGTTTTGTTCAGAGACGGCGAGCCTTCTGTGCCTTCTGTGCTTTGCCGGTATTCTTCGCGGCCTTCTTACCGGCCTTGGCCACCTACACGCTTTGTAAGGATGACTCAAATTCCGCAGTGGTTTGCACTTACATTGGTCGCTGCAGCATCAGCAACGGAAGCAGCCGCTTGTGTGGCAGCTCCCTGAATCAGATAATTGTGAGATAAATGAACGAGCAAAAAGAGAAGAAGAAACTGACTGCGCCAACACCCGCATTTGCACCATCGGCGGCGGCGCCAGCAGCCTGGGATTTTATTTAGTAAAGGAATCACGACGGCGAAGGATGATAATGAATGCGCACGTCGGTTGCAGCTGCTGCACCGGCAGCGTCAGTTGCAGCGGCGGCGGCAGCGGCCTCGGAGGCAGCAGCAGCATCAGCAGCTGCGGCACTCGAAGCGGCAGCAGCGGCGGCGTCACCCTACAAATCGCACCGTTCAATCTTTGGAAGTAATGATAAGAACAGCATGGATACTCACAGCAGCGTTTCCGGCGTTCCCCTGCGCATTCTGGATGGCTTGTTGAATAGCAGCCTTGATCGCAGCGCCGATGTCGCCACCGTTCCCGATCGCGCCTTTGATAGCTGCTCCAAGGTCACCGAGACCGCCAGCTGCACCAGCTCCTCCAGCAGCACCCGCGGCACCAGCGCCCGTCGCAGCGCCGCCAGCGCCACTCCCCGCCGCACACCCTGCGCCGCTCTCCTGTACGACCTTGCCGTTCACGACCGTGCACGAGCTAGACTGGGATGCGCGCTTGTCGAAGGGGAGGCCTTTCGCCACAGCGACAGCTCCACCCGCACCGCTGCCCGCCGCGCAGCCAGAGCCGCTCTCTGCGACGATGACGCCGTTGACGACGGTGCAGGAGCTGGACGCCGGAGCGGCGATGGCCAGGGAGGCGATGATGAGGGGAAGGAGGGCGAGTTTGGCGAACATTGTGAATTGAAAGGTATGAAAAGTGGATGAACTTGAAGACGAATTGAAAGGCTAAAGCAAAAGACCGCCTGGGTCAGGTGAAGAAGATGAAGTGAAGAGAGGAGAAGGGTTGAAGCACAATGAGTGAGGTTTTTTCTCAGACCCTTATATACCCCTCCGCTGCTGTAATTCAAGAATAGAGCGTACGTGGTATGGCGGGCATCCCTGAGAGCATTCCTGCATCGCAGCGTCAAACCCCACAATTTCCGCGATCGTTGCGACGTACTTTGATCTCCAACAAGCGAAAAACTGAGAAACTCCAAATCGGATCTTTCGGCGTGCTACCTTCCCGTGAAGAATAGAGCTCGAGAGCTTCCACCGTCGACCGCCTAAAATATGCTTCTCGAGCTTGATGGCAGCACCCTCGAACGACATTGATCTCTCTCTCAGGCATCAAGTCGTTGCCCGATGCCAAATGGCGGTGTATCGCATTCTACGAACCAACTGTTAACGCAAGCCAGTAACATACAGAACAAGATATAATACACATTACAAGGCGAATAACCCGACTATACCATAAAATCATTGCGATATCCAATCCAATCCTGGCGAGAAATCCCACCACATATACATACTTAGATGAAACAGATTCGGCACCATCCAAATCCAACACACCACCGGCATGGAATCAAGGGTCCCCGCGCGTCGGCACGCACAGGTGCTGAAGATGAGAGGGGTAGTCAGAATCAGATTCGCAGTTGTTCACCAAGATGTAGTAGAGATGTAGAAAGAGGTAGGTACTCACATTCTTCCCCTCCGCATGCGCCTGCCTGTGCGTCATCGTCTTGCAATTATACCCATACCTGCAAAACGAAACCATTCATCGACCATCCAATGAAGAAGATGCATTAGATGATGACTCACCAGCAATTCTCCGGCGGGTTCCACCCATCCTTCACCCTCTCAGCATACCACCACCTCCACGCATTTTCCTCCAAATACCTCACAAAACACTTATCGCAATACGACTTGTCCTTCGTCCACCCATCCCACTCACTCGGCTTCCCGGACGTGTCGAATACGGCGAGATACCAGGTTGCGAGCGAGTCCTCTTCCGGGTCTTCGTACTCGTGTTCGTATCGCCCTTTCCGTCCGTCATCGTCGTTATCATCATCGTTATCATCATCGGACTCGGAGTCGGACCCGAGGAAGAGCGGGTCGGGGTTGGTGTTGGCGTCATCACCGTTGCTGGCGTTGTTTTTGGTGGAGGAGGAGGGTGGGGAGGGATGATCCTGGGGTGCTGGACCACGCATC